CTTATCAGTGATGCAGGATGGAGGGCCTGACAAAGACAGCTGTCTAATTGTTCGGATGGAACCAAAAACCAAGATACCGTGTACACATTGGCGTGCACGTAAAAGATGCCTTGGCAGTTGGAATTCGATATAATAAGAGTAGGCTGTAGTGCCGCTGTCCGGGCAATATTTCCCTCATAGCACACTGTATGGCGTATGCCTGTCTTCATTAGCCCAGTTTGGAGCAAAACAGTAGGATGTTAAACCCCATTTCATTTCATTTCATTGGGTGCAGCTGAGTCTCAATGAGTAAGATGGTGGCTCAGTAACCAGGTTGATCCCTTTCTTGACAGAAAAAGTTCATCTGGCGTAGTTCTCCCCCTTGTCAGTGGTGTAGTACGGAGGGCCGGGCAAGCTAAAAAATAGAACTGAGACAACATTGGTGTGCATGTAAAAGACCCTTCCCAGGACGGAAAGGATAATGTATAGTCGTTTGGATGGGATGAAAAAACGAGGTCCTGTACTGTATACACATTGGCGTGCACATAAAAGAATCCTTGACAGTTGGAATTAAGAGTAGGCTGTAGTGTTGCTGTTAGGGCAAACTTTTCCCTCTTTCATACAAATGTGATTGGTGTGCACATAAAAGAATCACTTCATAGTTGGAATTTGAAATAAGAGTAGACCGTAGCGCCACTGTTCGGGCAATATTCCCCCCATAGCACAATGCATGACGTAAGCCATGTCCTTGAATCGATGACAGATTGATTGTTACAGGGACACGGTATGTTCAAATGATTGTGGAATGTGCGGTTATTTATATTTTAAGGAGATGGACTAATTACTAGATCAATAATAATTTCTATTAATATCTGATAAAATATTTATAGACCAATGTATTGATGATTTACCTAACAATTTATTCAGTTTTAATTAGTAGCCTGGGGGTCAGGGGTTGATTGGCTGTATGATTTAACGTGTTTGCTAGCTTATATCTTGTCAAGTGTTAGTCCCGAAATGACCTACTTTATGTCGAGTAGATGTTAAACCCCGTTTCTATCTCTGTCTAACTATAACTGATTTACCGAAAAATTTATTTACTTTGTTTCCGTTCATAATCATAGCGGGGGGTTGGTTAGCACATGCTTGTTTTTTTATAAGGTCTGTCATTGAGTCAACTGGCGTGGTTTCGTTTCCCCTGTTGTACGGGACAAGGATTAGGGTCGCCTGTCCATCCTGGCAGGTTTTCTTCCACTGCTAAAGACCCCTACCCGCAAGCGAATTATTGAAATAAAATTAAACCATGTTAGTCCCAAAATGACCTCCCTCCCTCCCTCTCTCTCTCTCTCTCTCTCTCTCTCTCTCTCTCTCTCTCGGTTGAGAAAGTTCCTCGGTTTCCCCATGTAAGTGGTGCAGGACAGAGGACCGGGCAAGGACCGAGCGTCTACTTCTGATAGGACGGAAAGGATTCTGTGTACAAATTGTTGTGAACATGAAAAAAGAACCCCTGGCAGTTAGAATTCGCTATAAGAGAAGACTGTAGTGCCGATGACCAGGCAATCAATATTTTCCTCATAGCACACTGCATGACGTATGCCATTATTCATTAGCCTAGTATTAGCAGAACAGTAGATGTACTAGGGCGTTAAAACTCCATTTCATTTAATTTATTAGAAAATGTTAGATATTCAATTTGATACAAATTTATTTAAAGATGAAACGTTTGTAAGGCTGTCATAATAAATTAACAGCACTGGGCCTGGAAATAACAGTGGTAGATGTACCTGATAAAATGTCAGGCACTAATGAAATAATACCTGACATTTTCAACTTAGTGCTGGGCCTGGAAATAAAAGTTTTAGATGTACCTGACAAAATGTCAGGCACTAATTAAATAGTATCTGACATTTTCAACTTAGTGCCGGACATGTATTAATAATATCAATAAAAAAGTCAAATCAGTGCCGGACAAAATGACAGACACCAGAGGTTTTGTGCCCGACAAAGCCTGAATCTGTGCCTGACATTGTCTGTGACAGGTGCCTCATTTCCAGGCTTGAACAGCACTGGGCTCGATCCTCTCCACGATATTTATTAATGATGCATTATGTAAGTGTGGAATCGAAACTATAACCATGTATGCCTTCCTTAAAGATATTTTATGGGAGATTCGGTAACGAGTTGGCAGTTCTCACTATAATAGTTAAAAACTAGATAATGTAAAGGCAATTTGGTGAAAATTTCATTCAAATTGATCCACTATGAACCGAGAACCAAGCGACTGAAATTCCCATAAGCCTCGGTCTTCATTACTAAAGTCAGAACGATAAACAGCACAGTCTCGATCATCCATTTAATCGTTTAATTGAGAAGGAAAGTTATGCCGTAAATCGGCTTACAATCCACTAAAGATCGCAGGCTAGCGCTGCCATCTAGAGTTGATTATGGCCTGGATAGGTTAATTAATGTCTAATTAATAATTTAGAAAGACCTGAAATAGGCAGATTTAGCTCTTGCATAATGTATGTTTAATTTGCCCGCTTGTTGCAGTAGGACGTTAAAGTAGCCAAGTCTCTAACTCAATATCATCCAAAGTCTTCGACAAATTATTTGTCAATTTAAATGAACATTGATGTTGTGATTTTACCGGGAAAAGATGGACTTCTGATATCCAATATTTAAGACAAAATAAATATTTTACCATTGGTACATGAATTGTGTACCATAATGCGTTTCAGCACCATTTGTAACAAGGGACACGAAGAACGAGGCTAAATATATTCCACAAAACATGTCAGACGGTGAAATCATATTCTTATCTAGAGATATCTTTCAATTGAGACTTCTTGTGTATTTCGCCAAACATAAAAACAGAAAATGATTGTATGTAAATCAGTTTATATACATTCATGATACATTATTATATGCATTGCGAGTTGCGACCCATTTGAGTCATTTTCTACGTCCAAGATATTAGCGATTTAACTCCTTAAAACTCCATGACATGGTTCATGTCAAATCAAACATTACGTATATTGGAATTGGAATTGCACGATAAAATCGTTGGGTAGAATTAGACATTATCTCGTTTACATCTTGCGTGACCATAATATCGGTAAATGGCTTTGTTCTAGAAAATTGTTATGATACATTGACAATACGTAGTTGTTCCAGTAGTGAATGACTAACAATATAAATTAACTTTTATTGTTCTACTACCAGACTCTCATCATTAATTATCAACACAACACCCAGTATAATCTGTTGACGACTGTGTATACATACAACTTTATAACACAAGCCGTGAGATTATGTGGCTTCTATACGTGCGCATTATTCTGTACTGGCCATGCAATTTTATAGTTACATTGTGGAGGTCGATCGTAGCCATGTTTTGAAAAAATTGGTGTTTGAAAAGAAGGATATTTTCTGGCGTGCAAAATGACCAATGGGTCAGATCTAGTTACGGTCATTTTCCATAGCCCTTGGTCCCGACCGGCATATACGGTCGACGTAGAACCCATGGTTGCGACCCATTTGAGTCAATTTCTAGGTCCCAAATGGTAGCAATCTAGCTCCTTTAAACTCTGGGGTGTTGGATGGCTGAATTGTTAGTGTGTGCGCGCTGTATCATAAAGTCTGTCTGTCAATGAGTTTACTGGCGTGGTTTCGAATCCCTGGTTGTACGTGACAAGGAGTAGGGTCGCCTGTCCAACCTCGTGGGTTTTTTCCAGGTCCTCCGGTTTCCTCCCACTGCTAAAGACCCCTATGCGTAAGCGAATTATTGAAATAAAATTAAACCATATGTTAGTCCCGAAATGACCTAGTTTGTGTCGAGTGGACATTAAACCCCATTTCTCTCTCTCTCTCCCTTTAAACTCCATGACATGGTGTATGTCAAATCAAACATTATGTAAATTGGAATTGCACGATAAAATCATATGGTAGAATTAGACATTAATTCTGCTGCAGGCTATTACACTATTAGACTCAACACATTATGGATTTTATGTGTTTTTTGTAAACTAGACGTTCGATTTTAGATGGTTAGGCCGGTTTCACAACATATAGGTTAATATCACACACACACACACTTTAAAGACGTTAATCGTGAGCGTGCATTTTTCAAGTACCGGTAATATCTAGCGCAATGCATTGTTTGTATTTTCGCTACAATATTGAATTACTCATGACTTAATCCACGCTAATATTTACTCAGATTGATGAGTACATTAATTAAAACATACATTATGCAAGAGCTAAATCTATCTATTGCAGGTCTTTCATTAGGCCTGAAATGTTATTTAAATTATTAATTAGACATTAATTAACTTGCTAAGACTATAATCAACTCTTGGTGCCATCGTATGCCTGCGATATTTAGTAGATTTAAGTACTTTTTGTGGTGGATGCATTTACCGTAAAAATGGATAATCGAGACTTTGTTTATTATCGTAACAACGGTAGTAATAAAAATCGAGGCTAGGCTATTATTATATTGCCAATTATATTGCTCAGAGTAAACTAACTTGACTGAAACTTTCAGCATGATTGTTGGACCCTAGCTTCCTCGCGCAAAATTAACATACATGTATTCAGCTTAAATAAAGTACATTTTTCTTCAACATGCTAGAATCGGAGCCATATCGGCACGCAAGCGATTCACTGTGTTTCACCGCAAAACTCTGTGATCCACCAAGAAACTTTGTGATTTGGAACGCTAGCGATTCGCTAAGGATGTCCCACGAAACTCAGCATTTTTCCGCCGTGTCCTCGGCGATTCTAGTTTGAAACTCTAGCCATGTACTGTATGATAAGACCAGATAGGATCATCACAATTACTACACGATTAAAACCACGATTTCAATCGTAGCGCGAATTGTGATAGTGGGAGCTAAGCATGAGTAAGAAGATGGCACACATTTACCTAGAGGTCCCGTGTTCGATCCCGGTGTTGGCCGAGAAAATTCCACGCTTGTTAGAGAGATTATATTTGAGATGTATGTTTTGTTATTTTGTAGGAGTAAGTAGTGGTACTGGTGGTACTGGTGGTGATGGTAAGAGTGAAGATAAAGGTGGCAATAGACGAGGAGGTGGTAAGCGGACACCAGGTGGTAAAACAACTAAATTACCAGCTTGTTGTTTACCAAATAATATGATGAATACATTCTATATTGGTGGTGGTAATGGGGTCGCATTGTAAGTATATAATAACAATGACATGAAATGGGGTTAAATGTCCTACTGTTGTGCTCCGAAAGCTCAAGACCAAAATGATTCAGCAATTTTCTCAGGATGGAAGTAGATCAGTGAAAATATTTGAACAATGGTGAAATAAAATGTGATTTAATGTCCTACTGTTCTGCTCCAAATGGGCTAATGAAGCAGGCATGCTATGATGGAATTTAGCCCAGACAGTGGCTTCTTTGGCCTTATTTCGAATTCTGATTGTAAGGGTTCTTGTACATGCATGCTAATGTGTATGTGGGACCTTGGTTTTTTCCCTTGCCAGGCCGGGATCGAATATGGTGCCTCCAGATTAGCGAGCCAGTCATAACGTGATAAGGTGTCAGGTCACCTGTCCAATCTAATTGTTTTTATCAGGGTCCTGTGGTTTCCTCCCAACGCTAAAGACCCCTAAGGACTGCTGCCCAGGCAAAATTCTGCATAAAAACACTCTGAAAACTAGGGCATTAAACTCCATTTCATTTCATTTGATTTAAATTTGAATTTGAAATGTACCGCTACTGGTGGTATACATGTAAGCTATCCATTTCATTTAAATTTGAATTTGAAATGTACCGCTACTGGTAGTATACATGTAAGCTGTCCATTTCATTTCATATCATTGAAATTCGAATTTGAAATGTACCGCTACTGGTAGTATAAATGTAGACTATCCATTTCATTTCATTTCATTTAAATTTGAATTTGAAATCTGTCTGTACCTCTACTAGTAGTATACATGTAGGCTATGCATGACCAAATATTAAAGTTGTTAAAGGGACAATAGCACTCTTGCTGGCTTGACAGCTCCAGAAAATAAATAATACTAATAGCCTTATTCTAAGTACTAGATGTTTAAGTGTCCTACCTGTTGTCTAAATTATCCATTACACCATATTTTACTTGTCCAGAGGGTTCGAAAATATTTTTAAATCAAAGTCACATTTGAAAAGGTTTACGTTAGACTTTTCAAATCATTTAGTTGGATTTTTCCAATTTTTTAATTTAGGTGTGTTAAGATGAAATTTGTATCATCAATTAATTGGAATATTGTGAAATAGTGCAATTTGTTGACCAGAATAAAGATTGGGACATATTATTCAGTTACAACAAGAGTGGTATTGAGCCTTTTATAAATAAAGTGTCTACAAGACAAAACCGGTCTGTGGGTTAAATATATCGACATCAAATTGCTTTGGTACTTTCATTTAGTTCCCTAAACTATTGTCAAGCAGAGAGGTTGAATGTATTTACTTACTGCAATCGCAAATATGTTTTAGTTATAAATATTAATTGGAATTAGCTGAGATGTGTGGCGTGTAAATACAGATTAACATTTAAATAAAACTTTGAATCGAGGAAAAAAAATATGGTGACTCAAATTTGTCAATTATGTGAGTGAATCACAAAAATACCAGTTCTGTTAGCATAACCATTTATGGATGTAGGTGTTCTCTTCATCAAATAAAACATGAGATGGTATTAAGAGTTTCATTAACTATATAAAGAGCCCTTGCTCGATTTTATTTTGTTCTAGGTTAGTTCAAGTGATACACTAGCCCTTTAACGTTGGTGTGCCCATTATATTGTGAAATATTATAATATTCAAACAAACTCCCTTCTGTAATTTCCTGCTCAATGTCTATTATTGGTACGCACGAAGAGTGGAGACCCTTTCTTTTTTATCCCTTTCAAAAACATTGTTATGACCGAAAACATTTAATGAAAAGGGAGAAAGAATAATATCGTTCTTTATGATGGTATGTCAGCCTCATTCACCGAATGAATGAAGCCAAATTTGTAACTAGAGGAGTTTCTGAATAGCAGCCCCAATTTATATAACATACGGTTTAAAATCCCAGGGATTCTGTACAAAAATGACATCTCTATATTTAGGAGAGAGCCGTATTCAAGGTAGACATTGTAGGTTGTTTTAGATTGATACAAGCTAATTTGGTTTCATGATGCGAATAGTAAATACAGTTTCTTGTATGGTAATGAAGTTGGCTCCCACCTATAAAGTAAACAATATATAAAATGTACCTGGTATTCACTGCTATATATTGACCGACGTGGTGTATACCCCGCTTAAATACTTAATACCACTCTTCAAAGAAATGTCAGCCCACGGTCGGCATCCAGGCACACAGTTTATAATTAATTATACCTAGAAACTTTTCCTTAGTACTAGTTGCATTCTTATGAAAAAGACAAAAATAGGCGTTGCCAGGCAAAGCAACGGAACTTGACCACTAGCCCATGGTCTGCATCTAGGTGACGTCAAATTATGTATATGATTTGTAAAAAGATTTCACTTAGTTCCAATACTGGTTTTATTCTTATGAAAGAGAAGAAAAATATGTGTTGCCAGACAATTCAACTGAGCATGACCGATAGCCCATTGTTTGTATCCAGACACAATATAAAATTTATTTTATCTAGAAAACTTATACCTAGTACTTGTTTTATTGTTATGTATAATAAAAAATAGTTAAGGTAGTAAATTTATCTGGGTTGTATGTTTTATGAAGAAAAGAGAAAACCCCTACCCGCAATAAAATTGAAATAAAATTGAACCATATGATAGTGTTAGTCCCGAAATGACATAGTTTGTGTCGAGTGGAGTTAAACCTCTCTCTCAGAGCTTGACAAATTGTATGTATAAAATCTTAAAAAAACTTTGTTCCGAGGGCCTTGCATGTGGTACTGTGGTAGGATGAAGGGGGATGCGTGTGGGCGTGTGTTAATTCATTTTTAGATTTACTGATATTTTTCAGAGTGGAAGGTGCTTTACTGAATCTTGGTTGGAAACGAACTACAGATAAATATGACGAAAGATTTAAATTAAAATGGGTTGAATGTAAAAGTAGAATTAACTATCAGTCGTTTAGAGAAGGTGAGTTTATCTATATAACACTAATCATCAGTCACAGAGAGGGAGGGAGAGAGGGAGGGAGAGAGGGAGGGATGGGGGGAGAGGGAGGGACAGAGAGAGAGAGGGACAGAGGGAGGGACAGAGAGAGAGAGAGAGAGAGAGAGTTTATTCAGTAATTTGTGGGTAAGCCTTATATATATACCAGAGAGAGAGAGAGACAGACAGAAAGACAGACAGACAGACAGAGAGAGAGAGAGAGAGTTTATTCAGTAATTTGTGGTAAAACCCAATGAATTTAGACAGGACAGGTTGAACTACTGGTCTAACACACCACCACCATTGATAGCTGTCATGTTTTTTCATGAATCTTGAATGATGTAAACTAGTGGTCTTAAGCCATGTTGACAATATCAAGTTGGAATAATTTACTATTACTTATTTAGAGAAGGTTAGTTCCAGAACATCTACAGATGACGACCACCATCAAGACTGGTCTCATGACGTCTTCTTGTAAATCATTGGGGTTTTGAGTGAAGCCTGTAGGCCTATTATTACAGGCCCAGGGCTGTATAGCGCATTGGACGCTTATGGCTCACCCCCAATCTGATTACAATACAGATCTATATTTCGTTTTGTTTTTTTATACTTCCGATGGCCTACACTACATGAAGATCTGACAAGTTATAGGGATATGACGTCAGGCATTTGATTAACCAATCAGCATTGATGTTACTAGTTGATTACCCACAGTTCCGTGAACACTCTTCATGAGCAGCTGGTCTGGGAATAACAACCAGGGTTGAAGCTGACGAAATGTCTGACACAACTGAACTACTATTAATAATATCAATAAAAATATTGACAAAAGACAAACACTGTGCCGGACAATATAACAGGTGCTAGAGAAATTGTGCCGGACAATGCCTGAATTTGCGTCTGATATTGTCAGTGACAGGCCAGGTACATATTTCCAGACTTGTTTGTCAGTCATTTAGAGAAGCTTTATTCCATAACATCAACGTGGCAGTGAGTGGTGTCACTGCTACCATTGCTACCAAACCTGTGACAGTGATTGGTGTCATTGCTACCATTGCTACCAAACCCCTACATGCAAGCAAATTATTGAAATATAATAGAAACTTATGTTAGTCCTGGATAACCTAATCTATGTCGAGTGGATGTTAAACCCTCTCTCTCTCTCTCTCTCTCTCTCTGTTTCTCTATCTATAAATATAACATTAATTATCAGTAATTATGATTTATTGTTAAACCTATCAACATAACTACAGGTGTTCAGACCAATAACCTACATAATTATTCAAATGATCAATAATCAATGACTGGATGGCTCACGAACATTGGATTCTAGAAGATATTTTTGATTAGATATGCATGTAGACCAGTATCTTGGTGGCATTTCTCACCCCCAATCATCCGAAATTCCAATGAATGGATGACCCTGATCATTGAATTCTACAAATAATTTCTGTAATTGAGGAATGTTTTTGATAAGCATGAAAGCGGCATGTTGCCTTGTGGCATTTCTTTTCCCTGATCATCCTGAATTTGAAAGGAGGAAATATTATATTTTGAAGGATATTAGAAGAATGACAGTTATGGTTTTACTGAAGGCATTAATTAGATGATATTACATCGTTAACAAATCTTAAGATATATGACAAGGTGTCTGCAACAACCCACACATTAAATGATAGAAAAAGATGATATTACAATATGGTGGTTGATAACATTTTTCATTGAGAGAAAAACCACGCTCATATAATCCTAACAATAGAGATAAAATGACACGTCTGTCTGACTTCCAGCAGACGGTCGTTATTCCTTATTAGTCTTCTTTCCAATGATAGGTGTATCATTACCTATATAAGTCACAGTACCTGTAAAGGTATGCTATTTTCCAAAAGCTGCGTTAAAATTTACCTTGATTAGCCTTATACGGTAAAATATAAACCCCTTTTTTTTTTTGTCAATGCAGACGTCAATGTATGAATGGAATGTCTGATGTATGAATAGTGTAGGTGTATCATACCATGATATCACTCTGTCAACATTCACCATCAATCTTATACACAATTACACCATTTTATACATTAAATCAACTTATGTAAGAAGAGTCCTTTAAAGTGGAAGGGTTTGGAAAGCTCAATGGTTAGCATGTGCACGCTGTATCATAAGGCCTGTCATTGAGTCAACTGGCGTGGTTTTGAATCCCTGGTTGTATGTGACAAGGATTAGGGTTGCCTGTCCAACCTTGTGGGTTTTCTCCGGGTACTCCGGTCTCCTCCAACTGCTAAAGACCCCTACGCGCAAGCTAATTATTAAAATAACCTAGTCTGTGTCGAGTGGACGTTAAACCCCATTTCTCTCTCTCTCAAAGTGGGCAAGCCTTTTAATATCCTACATAGACAGTTTTTGTTTTTTTTACATCTGCAGCTGTCATTTTTATTGTGCATCTGCTTGTCGAGAAATATACGCAAGGAATTTATGAATTATGCTGAATTTATGAATTATGCTACGTTGGAATGTTTATTGACATGAGGCTGAACGGAATTTGAAAAGTTTTATTAAACTGAAAATCATGTGATGCATCACATACATCTGCACCGTAATTTCAAAGTTATATCCAAAAATACAGCTCATACGGTTTGTCATTGAGTCAACTGGCGGGGTTTCGATTCGCCAGTTGTACGTGACAAGGAGTAGGGTCGCCTGTCCAACCTTGTGGGTTTTCTCCGGGTCCTTCGTTTTTCTCCCACTGCTAAAGACCCCTACGCGCAAGCGAATTATAGAAATAAAAATTAAACCATATGTTAGTCCCGAAATGACCTAGTTTGTGTCGAGTGGACGTTAAACCCCAGTTATTAGATAATTTGTTAAAGGGCTGGGTTAACCTCTAAAATTTACATCAAGTATGTATGTACTAAAAGGGTGTTAGTTTAAACGTACCCAATAAAATAAAACGCAGAAATAATTGATAATATCTGATTAAAATGAAAAAATAATTGATAATAAAATACATATTTCATTATAAACAATTCCATATTTAATAGTTTGTTTAATGTAGAAAGTAAGTTCCAGTGCATTGTCTAATCTGCTTAAAATACAGATCTCTATTCTGTTTCATTTTTTTTTATACCTTCGGTGGCCTCTACTACATGAAGATCTGACCAGTTGTAGCGGGAGTTCGCATCAGAGGTCATACAAATGGCTTTTGACCCTATGATATCAGATTAACCAATTAGCGTTGATGTTTCTGCTAGGATACCCATAGTGCCGTACATCGCTATGCCAAGAACTTGCTGCAACTGACCGTTTTATTGGCTAATCCCATACATCAACCAGCATTCAGGTTATATAACAACTCTTCCCGATTCTAGTGTAGTAAAGACAAGTAAAAAGAAATTTTGAATTATTAAAAATGAAGCGAAATAGGATCTGTGTTTTAATCAGATTGTAATTGCTAATATCTTAGATATTTCTCAGATTCATTTGACTGATTGGTGTTTTAAAGTTTATTTAATTTTTATTTCCGTTGGTCCGTCATGCGATAACTCGATAGGCTAATTTTATCATTCAGATGGAAATTTATACATAGTGTTTATGTTCTTGAGTCAAAGAAACCTATTTACTGTTAGAGTTATACTATAGCCCTTGGTGACTTTGAAAAATCTTGGGGACACTTTGATTGACTTTAAATTTATACACAGTGATTATGTTTATGGGATGAAGAAGCCTATTGATTTGCAGCAATTTATTTATTTGACTGATGATAAATAGACATAATCATGGTGGTCATCTAGCCATTGTGGCTTAAACTAGGTCATTTTGGGACTAACATATGGTTCAATTTTATTCCAATAATTTGCTTGCGCATAGGGGTCTTTAGCAGTGGGAGGATACCGGAGGACCCAGAGAAAACCCACGAGGTTGGACAGGCCACCATACTCCTTGTCACGTACAACCAGGGACTGTTGAGGGTACGTATAGACTCGCATGCTTTGTATGGGTGGTACGAAGAGTCCCACCGTATGTTGTACTTTAGTTTCTTTAAATCTATTAAACGTTATAAACTTAGCTTGTTGTTTCTTATAAATAATACCATCAACTGGACCATTCTGGCTTAAGGGAAGACCGAGGAAAAGACCTAAAGGTATAAAGTGAACTTTAGTGGTGATATATATACAGAGGTGACAAACAAATATTGCTATGTTTAATTTACCTGTTATAATGGGGGTTGGGATGGCCTAGTGGTGTAGAGTGCCAATTTTGACCTCTAGCTGGACGGTCACCTCTGGGTTGCGGCTGTGGTTTCAATCCCTGGTGTGAGCGTATGTGACTTGGAGATAGGGGTGCCTTTTCAACCTCGTGGGTTTACTCCGGGTACTCCAGTTTCCTCCCACAGGAAAGACCCCTGCGCGTGCACTAAGATAATAAAGATAAAAATAAGACTTGTCTGCGATATCACCTTCGGTGGAAGCGGACATTAAACACTAAGAACAACAACAACCTATTATAATATTGAGATAGAATTTGATTTATTATTAACATTATTATATGATAATACATCTTATCACATTCTATACTGATTACAATAAAATTCTATAATACTCCTGACAGTTACACTAGAACGTATCAATTATTATATTGCCATGTTGATCGGTTAATATGACTGACATTCTATTATCAATACAATCTAATAACATGAACAATTAAAACTGACTATAATACATCCGTCTATATTTACTGTGTTCAATCAATGAAATGAAATGAGCTTTAACAATCTATATTTCTGTACCAGTCAGTTTCCTACTTATCAGGGCTCAAGCTGTCGGTCGCCAAAGTTGCAATTTGCGATAAAAAATGAAAGTGGCCAAGTCGCAATTTGCGATAAAAAAATGAAAGTGGTGATTAAAGTTTGATTTTGTCGATGTTTTCGGGTACTTGTCATTCTTTTTGAGATGTGGCGAAAAAAAATCTTAAAATTCTAATCGTATTCTAGATTAACCATTACATTGAGTGTCAATCACATGACGGGATACTATAAATTAATCAACTGGCTGATAATCTGGATGGCGTCAATGGGTAATACTAATCACTTGTCTTGGATTAATGATTAGTTGATTGATAATGGCCAGTGATATATATATAAAGCCTTTCTCAAGTCATTATTTAATTGTAATAATTAATTATTCAAGAGGTGATTATTTGATGTTTTTCTTTTTGTTTTAAAAAAATAAATGGAAACAAGGAGGGCCTGCGAAGAATAGTGACTAGTCGTTTGAATGGGAAAAAAACTGATTTCCTGGGTACAGTTTAGCGTGCACAAAAGAGATCCCTTGGCAGATGGAATTTGATGATAAGAGTAGGCCATAGTGCCGCTGTCCGGGCAAAATTTCCCTCATAGCACACTGTATGGCATATGCCCGTCTTTATTAGCTCACTCCAAGCAGAACAGTAGGGCGTTAAACCCCATTTTATTTATTACATGCACGGCAATCTGTACACGGGACATCTGTTTGTAAATGTTCGTAAGGTGAATGTTGAGACTGAATTTGATGATATAAAAAATTTGATCCATTGATGCTTAGGGACATGATAACTTTAATTCTATGGAAGAAGAGAGGATAGCTTGAAATATTTTGCCATCTGTGTGAAATTTTTTAATTCATGACTTTGCAAATACTGAACTGAATTGAACCATTTCAATTCAGACGCATAATCCCTTCGCAGATTAAACACAGTTTACAAAAGGATTTAAAATACATCTAAAGATAATCACCTTCTTTATGCCTTTAGCTGCATAAATGATTTTTTTTATAGAAAACTGATAAAAACCTATAGTTAAACTAAAATAGAAATATTGTCAATAATTAATGAAGTGAAATATTGATAAAATATTAATAATTGATAAATATGTCTTCGATATAATCAGATTTATAAAATAAAGGTAGATAACCCATGTTGACAACAATTTACAATTTATAACTTGAAAATGTTTAAAGCGTCGGTTCCAACTAGAAACTACTTTGTAGACTTTCAAATAACAGCACGTTTTGGGTATTTGTCTCTATAATTTCGCACATTTTCGTATAGATGACAACAAAATAATAATAAGGAAATCATATATTTTGATAAAGCATGCCAGAATGAAAAAAGAACTATAACTCGAAGAAATCTAAAATACAAAATACATCATGTCTTTACTCTTCCTGTGGGGTAGGACGGGGAGTTTTTTTAAAAAAAAAAAATATAACCTCAACCAATAACTTCTAATATCAGGAATACTCAATTGAACGTTCTGGAATTATATTGTAAAAATAGTGTTAATCGAGTCAAAGTAAGAATTTTTGAATACAACGCATGGGCCGACTGCATAAAAAATATCTCAACCAATCATGGCAAATGAAACATATTTGTTACTTAAAATACGTCACGATTCTACTCACACCACCTCAGCTGTCGGGACTGGCAGAACTGTGACAGGACTGAATTCCGTATCACTTGATTGCAATTCTGTCAATTCGGGAAGTTCCGGAATGACAATCGAGCACCCACCTTAGATTAGTGAAAAGAAATAAGGCGTGGTTTTGATTCCCAGCTTGAACAGGACAAGGTGTAACCTTCCTAACTTTGTGCGGCTTTTTCCGGCTCTCTGGTTCAGACCACCCTATCAGTTTCAATATTCAAAAAATGTGTCGAGTGGACATTAAACCCCATTTCGCTCTCTCTCGTCTCTGGTACACGACATATCAGTGAATAGGGGCTATTAAGGCTGAATTATATACCGTCTGGGAACACTGTAACTCTATATTTTATTAAGGGGGCCGCGGTGCGTCATTGACTAAGATGTTGGCTCGCTAACCTGAAGGTTCCATGTTGGAACCCTGTGTTGACCAAGCAAAATTTCCCGGATAGCACACTGTATGCCCACCTTAATTAGCCCAGTCGGAGCAGAACAAAAGGATAAAAAAAAATCATTTCATATTTTTATTATAACAAAAATCAAAGAGGCTAATTAGTGCCTTCAAGATATCTTTTGAAAATTTCTCGATAAAGTTTTTACCTCTCCAGTTAATTAGATTATGTTTATTTCAGGCGATCAGCTTGTCAATCATATTCCCAACTGTCACTTATTGACCAATAAAATGGGCCTGTTAAACAGTTTACAAGAATATGAAAGGGTTACTTTATCAACTAAAGGGAGACCACCCCGTCTGAAAATGGTAGATATTGTACCAGAGACGTATAAACTAGATGATAAAAATGACAGAGAAACTTTTTTAGAACAATATAAAGGTATGGGATATTATTTTACTTTTTAAGGTAACTCAAAGTAATCCATTTGAGGTGCCCCACCCTTGATGCCCTGTGTGCTTCAGATGCCTTGCCAAATGCCCTGGGTATCAGGTAACTGATCAAGATCCTAAACGGTTGACTTACAATTAGCTAAGTTAATATAGATATCTGATGTATTATTAGCTAAGCTAATCTAAGTTAATATATATATAAGCTTATCTTAACTGAGTTGATATAGATATTACCTAAGTTGAAGTTGATATAGTTCTTGGTCGGTTATTATAGATATTAGTATATTGAAATAGATATTAGCCAAGTTGACATAGATATTATATATATTAGCTAAGTTGATGTAGATATTATAGATATTAGCTATGTTAATATATTTGCCAAGGTGATAAAGATGGGATATTAGCTAAGATGATATAGATATTACACTATTAGCTAAGTTGATATATTAGCTAAGTTGATGTATTACCTAAGTTGATATATTGGCTAAGTTGATATATTAGCTAAGATGATATAGATATTAGGCTATTAGCTAAGTTGATATATTATCAGCTATGTTGATATATTAGCTATGTTGATATATTAGCTAAGTTGATATATTAGCTAAGTGAATGTACTAGCTAAGTTGATATATTCAATATATTATTATAGATGGTGAAATGTGGATATGTAAACCAACTGGCATGAATCAAGGTAAAGGTATATTTTTACTCCGGTCTAAAGAAGAAATCGACAAATTATTGTCTGAACGCGAGGAGAAACAACAACAGCAACGAAAATCTACCAGGCCACTCATGTCAAGAATAGTTCAAAGGTTTGTTCATTTACAAGCAGAGAAATGGGATTTATTGTCCACTCAACACAAACTAGGTTATTTCGGGACTAACATATCATTTGCTTGGGCGTAGAGGTCCTTAGCAGTGGGAGGAAACCGGAGTTCCCGGAGAAAACACACGAGGTTGGACAGGCATCCTTACTCCTTTTCTAGTACAAGCAGTGAATCTACACCACACCACTTTACTAAATGACAGGGGGGTGGATGGCCGAATGGTTAGAAAATGAAATGAAATGGGGTTTAACGTCCTACTGTTCTGCTCCTAACCTGGGCTAATGAAGACGGGCATACGCCATACAGTGTGCTATAAGGGAAATTTTGCCCGGACAGCGGCACTACGGCCTACTCTTATATCGAATTCCAACTGCCAAGGGATCTTTTACGTGCACGCCAATGTGTACACGGGACCTCGGTTTTTCGTCCCTCCCGAACGACTAGACAGCTTTCCTTGTCAGCCCCTCCATCCTGCATCACTGACAAGGGAGAACCACGCCGGAAAATCTGGATGAACTTTCTCGGCCAATGCAGGGATCGAACACCCGACCTCCAGGCTAGCGAGCTAGCGTCTTACCCACTTAGCCACGTGATCCCCACCCGAATGGTTAGAGTGTGCGAGTTATCATAAGGTCTGTCATTGAGTCAACTGGCATCCTTTCAAGTCCCCTCTTGCACTGATGATAGATAGAGCGAGAGAGAGAGAGTACTAGGTCATTTTGGGACTAACATGATTTAATTTTATTTTAATAATTCGCTTGCCCGTAGGGGTCTTTAGCATTGGGAGGACACCGGAGGACCCCCAGAAAACCCAGGAGGTTGGACAGGCTACCCTACTTCTTGTCACGTACAACCGGGGATTCGAAACCACGCCAGTTGACTCAATGACAGGCCTTATGATACAGCCCGCATGTGCTAACCATTCGGCCATCCAACTCCCCCACTAACAAAGAGACACCAGACAGGAAAATCCTGAGACTTTATCACCCGTCACCAGGATCGAACCAAAGACATCGTGATTAGTCAGTTACTGCGACGCCTTGTCGATGGGAAGCCACTGTGGCTCAGTGAGTAAGACTTTGGCTCGCTTACCTGGAGGTTCCGTCTTCGATACCTACGTTTGCCGAGAATGTTCATCAGGGTTTTTCAAGTATGGTTCTTCCTTGTCAGTAGTGTAGGATGGAGGACCTGACAAAGGACAATGTATAGTCAATCGGATGAGATGAAAAACTGAGGTCCCATGTACACATTGGAATGCATGAAAAGAACCCTTCAGAGTTGGAATTCGATATAAGAGTAGGCCATAGTGTCACTGTCTGGGCAAAATTTCCCTGATAGCATACTGCATAGTATATGCCCGTCTTTATTAGCCCAGTTGGAGCAGAACAGTAAGACGTTAAACCCCATTTCATTTCATTTCCCTGTCTTGATATTTGGTCGTTTAGAAAAAGTTCTCTTATCTGCGATTTTCAACCTATCAACCTGGCAAATATATACGTAACCCACTGTTATTAGATTCCTATATTTTTAATGAGTATAAGTTTTATTTATCTTGCAGATATACCAGGATACGTAACCGACCGTTATGATATTTGTATATTTATATTTAGTATATTTTATAAAGTTTTATTTATGTTGTAGATATATACACAATCCACTATTATTAGATGGTAGAAAGTTTGATATTAGAGCGTATATGTTGATAGCTAGTACTACACCTTTTCTTGTGGTTTATCATAAAGGTTATGTACGATTATCATGTATGCCATATAACGGAGAGGATACCAATCTAACCACCCATCTTACCAATCAGGTAATAACATTTATATTGTACATCTATAGCTCGGGAGGGATTGGGTGTTTCCCTGTATCCCAGTCGGGAGAGACAGAGAGAGAAAGTAGATAAAGTACAAGTAGTTCTTTGTTTACGGTAGATAAACACATAAACAAATAAAAAATATGTCTAGGTAAAAATTGCCCGACTTTACTTCATTCTGACATACATTAAATCCATATAAGCTAGCTGTCTGCCTTCTATAGGCGTCTTCCGATATTAATAATGTCTACAAAATTTTGAAATACCATACATATATGTATATATTCTTAGAATAATAGATTTCCATAACAATGGATTATAAATAATATTAGGTAATGTACAACAAAAGTTTAAAAGTATATAATACATAACATGACATTAATCTACATTGTCTTCCTGGTATATAGTTTGACAATGGTCAATACAGAAATAATAATATGAAATAAATGTCCATAAATCAATTATGTAATCTGGCTATAAACTTAACCTCTCATTAATTTTTTGTACATGTAATTAGTAGGCCTATTATTAATAGTATATATATTATGATAATATTATTTCTAGTATATATATTGTGATAGTATTATTTATAGTATAATATTGTATTAATATTATTTCTAGTATATATATTGTATTAGTATTATTTCTAGTATAATATTGTATTAATATTATTTATAGTATGTAATATTATTTCTAGTATAATATTGTATTAATATTATTTGTAGTATATACAGAAGAAAGATCCTAATTATCAAGAAGTAAAGGAAGATACAGCATGGAGTATGGATAAATTTAATGATTATATAAATGAAAAAGTTGCTCCTGAGAAAAACTTAGAACCGGACTTTGTTTATAATTATCTGACGGTAAGTAGCTTGTTTTTAATATCTCCACCTGGGCTCTCGTTTTGGACAAGGAGTATGGTCACCTGTCCAACCTTGTGTGTTTTCTCCGGGTCCTCTGGTGCATTGGCCGAGAAAGTTCATTGGGATTTTCCGATGTGGTTTTCCCTTGTCAGTGGTGCAGGACGGAGGGCCTGACAAGGACAGCTGTCTAGTCATTGGGATGGGATTAAAAACCAAGGTCCTGTCTATATATTTGCATGCACGTAAAAGATCCAGTGGCAGTTGGAATTTGATATAAGAGTAGGCCACGGCATATACCTATCTAAATTACCCTCATAGCACACTATATGGCGTATGCCCGTCTTCATTAGCCCAGTCGGAGCAAAACATTAGGATGTTTAGCTCCATTTCATTTCATTTCAATGCATGAATTTGATGTTTTGTAAATTTTCAGAAACAAATGCAGAGAGTTATGTTACATTGTTTTAATAGTGTAAAACATAAATTACAATCTAAGATGGGATATTTTGATTTATATGGATTAGACTTTATGATTGATACGGACATGAAGGTAAATACATCGTTTGTTCACTCCTAATACTAGCTTCACACTATCACAATTTATATGGTTTAGACTTTATGATTGATACGGACATGAAGGTAAATACATCGTTTGTTCACTCCTAATACTAGCTTCACACTATCACGATTTATATGGTTTAGACTTTATGATTGATACAGACATGAAGGTAAATACATCGTTTGTTCACTCCTAATACTAGGTTCACACTATCACGATTCGTGCTGCGATTGAAATCGTGGTTTTAATTGTGGTGATCCTATCAGGTTTTATCATATATTGAGGTCAGTTGTACTGTATCAATCGTCTTGATTGCATCAAAACGTATATGAGCGTATCTGCACGTACCATATCTTGAACTCAATAGGTACAATACTATCGTCACGCATCACACGAAATTGGGAACCTATCATAAGGCTTCAACCTTGGGTAATATTCCTGAGAAACTTGACCAAGGAAAAAAATAATAGGCCTAGTCTAGCATAGGTAGGAGACGCAAGATCGATTAGGAGGCCTATTCAGTTTCCTTTTGGTAAAGATACAGGGTAGCGTCCAAGGTAAGTTCATCCAAAGGACTGGTGTTTGCTCCTGGTTAACACTTTGTACCATGTTCGTTATAAACAAGGGGGATTCGCCAGGTCAAGTGGTCTTAATGCCATTTTTTTAGAAAATAAGGTCTGTCATTAAGTCTAGTGGTTTTGATCCCAACCAGTACATGACAAGTAGTAGGGTAGCTTGTCCAACTGCTAAAGACCCCGACGCCCAAGTGAATCATTAGATAAAATTGAACCATGTGTTAGTCCCAAAATAACCTAGTTTGTGTCAAGTAAACGGTAAAACCCATTTTTTATATATTCCTAATAAGACATATAGAAGTAGATTTCACAAATTAAAACCACCTGAATTTATTAACTTGCTATGTATTGATACAGATATCATATAATTTGCTTGATAACAATATCTGTATGTGTATCGAAACCTAGCATATTAATTAATTCAGAAGTAATATATCCATATAAGTGTTTTTAATTAATTTTTTTTATATATTATTTATAGGTCTGGATGATAGAGATTAATGTTAATCCATCGTTGAGTACGAACTGTGAAGCATTACGAGAAGTTATACCATCTGTGGTCGAGGAATCCATTAGTAAGTTATCGGTATTTTGATAACCACATATTTACCATACCAAATCCTTAGATCAACGTTAGGGTTGTACTAAAATATGATTTGATTGGATAGTTAGCATAAATTATTACTATCGTAAACAGATCCCTGCATTGGCCGAGAAAATTCATCGGGATCTTTCGACGTGGTTTCCGCCTTGTCAGTGGTGCAGGATGGACGGCCTGATGAGAACAATTGTCTAGTTGTTTGGATGGGAAGGAAAACGGAGGTCCTGTGTACTGGGGTGTACGTAAAAGATCCCCTGGCAGTTTGAATTCGATATAAAAAAAGGTCACAGTGCCGCTGCCCGGGCAAAATTCCATTCACAGCACTGTAGATAGTATGCCCGTCTTCATTAGCCCAGTCAGAGAGAGAGAGAAATGGGGTTTAACGTCCACTTACATAATTCATCTATATGAACTTTGCTCAAAATAAAATAATTTGACAGAAATCAGGTAAAATCTTTTAATGGGTCTGTTTACGATAGAAATGAAATGAAATGGGGTTTAACGTCCTACTGTTCTGTATGGCCGAATGGTTAGCACGCGCACACTGTATTATACGTTCTGTCATTTAGTCAACTGGCGGGGTTTCGATTCTCCTGTTGTACGTGACAAGGAGTAGGGCCGCGTGCCAACTTCGTGAGTTTTCCCCGGGTCCTCCGCTTTTCTCCCACTGCTAAAGACACCTACGCGCAAGCGAATTATTGAAATAAAATTGAACCATGTGTTAGTCCCGAAATGACCTAGTTTGTGTCGAGTGGACGTTAAACCCATTTTCTGTAAAATATAAAATTTCTCACTGCTTAATGTACGCTAATCTTTTTTCCTTTTCTTCTTCCAGATGTGTCAATAGAATGTTTTGAAAAAAGTCGAAAAAATCAGGCCTTGATGCCGTTGAATTCTTTAAAAGGATTTACTGTGCTTTATTGTGGATCTCAACCCAATGCTGTTCAATCTCGTCAACCACGTAGTATTTCACCTGCTAAAGACACACCCGAAAAAAATCCTAAAGTTACGCAAGTGTCACCCAACAAAAGAACTGTTTCACCTTCTCGATCTTTTATTCCTAGAACGAACGCTACCCATAACATGCCTCCAATACAGTCCAAGTCTGGAACTGTGAATACTGAAGCCGAACTGTTCGCCAAAAGTCCTTACAGTCATGCAATTACACACCCCAAACCAGTGAATTTTCAAAATAAAATGACTCATCCGAAACCAGTAAATAAACCAGCGACAACGGTCAAGACGGCGACGGCACCTCAAAACGACCCGACGAAAAGCAGTAAATCGCCACTAAAATCCACACCTCCCTCTATTACCCCTCCAAAATCTACACCACTCTCGAATACGTCTCCAAAATCTACACCACCCTCGAATACTTCTCCAAAATCTACACCACCCTCGAATACCACACCTAAATCTACCCCCTCGAATTCCCCACCTAAATCTACGACCCCCTCGAGTACGCCTCCTAAATCTACGACACCATTGACTATCCCATCTAAATCATCTAGTCAAGGTAGCTCTCCTACAGGAGACGAAGTTAAATTAAAAATGGTGCATAAAAATTCTGTAAAACTTAAAACCGACGCAGTGACTAATGACAGAGGTAACTGAGTGGCCAAGGCTAGAGATAAAACCGGCAGACATTTTTGAAGTTGTAAAAATGGTTTTAGACTACATCAAAATAGAACTGACGCACAAATTTAAAGCGACAGTGATTTTTGAAGTTGTAAAAATGGTTTTAGACCACATCAAAATAGAACTGACGCACAAGTTAAAAGTAACAGTGATTTTTGAAGTTGTGAAAATGATTTTAGACCACATCAAAAGTTAAAAGAATCTGATTGTCATTTACATGTTTCTGACAATATTTTATGTGATAGCTGTCTTCTATTCACCAATCGATTCAGGGTTGTTCTGGTTCACATTATCCTTGAGATAATCAGGGAAATCCCCAAAGAGGAACGTGATCAAGTAATTGACCATTTTGTGCGACATTACAAGTTTACTTCAAACACTGTGGAGGCCATTTGGAAAGAACATGACTTTTATGCAAATCCACCAACATAACTGAAACTTTAGGGAATGATCGTACACAGACTGATGTTTAAGAAATTTGTTGGACCTTTGTAGGACTCAATAAAAATTTTATGGGTTCTGTATTTTTTGGGGTCACCTTGTATTTAGTCATGCATGGTTGGAGTTAATTTTTTTTATGAAAGATACATGTAAGAGTATCATAACATTAATTGATAGAAGACCTATAATAAAAGTAGTAAATCCTGAAAGTTGTAGGTGTTATTATAAATGTTATACCTCTACTGATAAATGTCATTCCATCATATCTCTAATAATTAGTTTGGTATCTAGCCCAAGATCACAAATCATTATTAGACTTAAGTTAAGAATTTACTCAACTTTTAATCACTGTTTATGAGAAATATCTTTGACTCAGAAACACAAAACTTTGTACATAGTTTCTGATTGATGTATTTGATACATTAAAACAGCAAAAGTTTTATAAAGGGCTATATTTTAGTTAAAATAAGGCGTACAATCTTCAGTAAATTCTTTACTTAAGCCTGAGAATGCTTTGTGAACTGGGGGCCTGATATGTTGTCAAAATATTGTTTTACTCAGAATAAACATGTGCCAAAATTGTGTAATTACTGAAGTAATAAATTCAGTAATATTGGTAGTAAGTAGAGATTTCTGTGTATTCAATAATATCTGTCAATGGTTTGATATAGTATTGTGTATGTTTTTTAAAATTGTCATTCAAAAGCAAATAGAAGCATTAAAATTTATTTAATTTTTGGGAGCCAGGGTGGCTCAGCGAGTAAGGTGCTGACTTACTAACCAGAAGAGTTTGGGGGACATTTTTCCTGAACACCAGTGCTATGGCCTACTCTTATATCGAATTCCAACTACCAAGGGATCTTTTACGTGCATGCCAATGTGTACATGGGACCTTGGTTTTCCGTCCCATCCGAACGACTAGACAGCAGTCCAATTGTATGGGACGAAACAATCAGCGTGCACGTTAAAGAGCCCTTGACAGTTGGAATTCGATGAAGAGTAGCAAGTAGACAGAAATCCTGCTGTCCAGACACTTCATTAGCCCAGAAATTAGGCCGTTAAACTAAGATACAATCAAAATTATAAGAAATACTGCAATTCGATTGGCTGACCAGTAAAATCAATTTGCATATATCCAATTTGCATATTGGTCAGCCAATCGAATTGCAGTATTTCTTAAAATTTCGATCGTATCTTAGTTTAAGTTTTCGTGAATAAGGGTCCAGGTATATTTACAATAACCAGTATTAAGAATAACAAATAAAGGTCCATGGAGTGAGTCCTGTCTATGCTTTATTCTTATAGTTGCTTGAAATCAAAATTTAATTTATTGTTAAGTGTATAATACATTGTTTGTGAATAGATTATAGTTTTAGAATTTTTTGTTGTGTTGAAATGAGGTTGGGTGGCCGAATGTGATTGAGTCGATTCCCCACTTGTATGTGTCAAGGAGCAGGGTTGGCTGTAAGCGTGTGGGTTCTTTCTGGATCCTCAGGTTTCCTTCCTTACAAGTTGGGTGGCCGAATGTCATTGAATCGAGTGTTATGGTTTTCGATATCCCACTTGTCCGTGTCAAGGAGTAGGGTTGCCTATCTAACCATGTTGGTTCTCTCCGGTTTCCTTCCAAACTTTCTGCTCAAAATATTGGGCAGTTTTTGTATCGGTTGACTTGTTATTCTCTTGTTTATTTGAACACCGTCCATTAGAGATATATTTTAAACAATAATAAGTGATGTATAATTTATCTGTGATACTATGTTTTATTTGTTTAATATTGTTATTATAAAATATTCTTATTTATATTTACACAATCATTTTGTTGAAGAAAAATAAATAATTTTGTCAATTGACCTTTTGGTTTGTTTTATTTGGTGGGGAGCCTCGGTGGCTAAGTGGGTCAGATGCTGGTTCACTAGGCTGGAGTTCGTGTGTGCGCTCCCTGCATTGTCTGTGAAAGTTCATCTAGATTTTCTGATGTAGTTTCCCCTTGTCAGTTGTGCAGGATGGAGGGCCTGACTAGGACAGCTGTCTAATCATTTGCATGGGACAAAAAACGAAGTCCTGTGTATACATTGGCATGCACGTAAAAGATCCCTTGGTGGTTGGAATTTGGTATAAGAGTAGTCGATAGTGCCGTGCCTGGGAAAAATTACCCTCATAGCACACTGTATGGCAAATGCCCATCATCATTAGTCCAGTCGGAGCAGAAGAGTTGGACATTAAACCCCATTTCATTTCATTTTATTTCATTTTATTTTTAGTGGCTGAATGTTTTTACGCATGCACTTTAGATTATAAGGTCTCTCATTGAGTCAAGTGCCGTGGTTTCATTTTCCTGCTTGTATGTGATAAGGAATAATGGTCATCTGTCCAACGTCTGGGTCATCCTGTTTCCTCCCACTGCTAAACATTAAACAGTGAATGGAGGTAGGTTGGTGCCCGTTGCATCATAAGGTCTGTCCAACTTTTCTGCTCCATACCATCTAATGAAGATGGCCTACTCTTATTTCGAATTCTGGACCTCCGTTCTGCACCACTGACAAGTGACAAGGGAGAGAGAGAGAAATGGGGTTTAACGTCCACTCGACACAAACTAGGTCATTTTGTGACTAACACATGGTTCAATTTTATTTCAATAATTCGCTTGCGCGTAGGGGTCTTTAGCAGTGGGAGGAAACCCCAGGACCCTGAGAAAACCCACGAGGTTGGACAGGCGACCCTACTCCTTGTCACATACAACCGGGGAATCGAAAACACGCCAGTTGACTCAATGACAGACCGTATATGATACAACTCAGCGCGCACGTGCTAACCATTCAGCCATCCAACCGCTCCCCCCCCCCCCCCACTGACAAGGGAAACTGCGGCAAAAATTCCTGAGGATCTTTCTCGACCAACACCTGGAGCGAACCCGAGACCTCCTGTTTAGGAAGCCAGTGTCTTACTCAGGTTTCAAATCCCTGGTTGTGCGTGACAAGTAGGGTTGCCTGTCAAACCTTGTGGGTTTTCTCCAGTTTCCTCCCACTGCTAAAGACCCCTACCTCAAGCGAATTATTGAAATAAAATTGAACCTCGTGGGTTTTCTCCGGGTCCTCCGGTTTCCTCCCACTGCTAAAGAGCCCTACGTGCAAGCAAATTATTGAAATAAAATTGAACCATGTTAGTCCCGAAATGACCTAGTTTGCGTCGAGTGGATGTTAAACCCCCTCTCTCTCTCTGCAAGGGCTCAGAAGAGAATCCAGATTGTTTTTGTTTCCCAAGGATAAGGCATACAGAACTGACAAGAAAAATGTTTCAAGTCAGTTCAATGGGACGAATAATTTTGGTATCCATGTGAATTAATCCTTGACCGATGATATTCAAAGAACTGTGCAAGAAACTGCTTGTTATCCTCAAAATAGTTCCACAATATTCATAAATCTGACAAATGTTTATGTAATAATACATGCAGGAGTGACTTGTAAAAAGTTTCATGTCATTTCAATGTGCCGAATAACATTGGCATTCATGGGCTAAATTTATTTGTTAAGGCCAGCTCAATTTTTGTCCAGGTCGCTGAGATGTAAATAAGGTTAGGGCACGTGATTGTTTTCAAGAATGTAGGTTAGTGTTTGGGTAAGTATTGGGGCTAGGTACAGGGTAAGGGTTAGGTTTGGGATTAGCGCTAAGCCATGTTTACACCTCATGACCTATGCCGAATAATTAAGCTGGCGTTATTTAGCACTAACCAGCGTTCATGTGAAAGAAACCATGAACGGTATAATACCAAGAATAGTCATGAGAAACCACTTGTTCACCTCCAAATAATCCACAATATATATAAATCCATGACAAATGTTTACGTAATAATCCATGTATTTAATACATGTACACACAATAAATAATAGTATGTATTTTATAACCATTTATTTAATACATGTACATTCATATATACACACACACAATAAATAATAATAGGTATTTTATAATAAAATATTTACATATTTTCAATAGACATTGACAAATGCTTTTTTCTTTATTACAAACCACATATTCACATTAACATTACAGTACAACAAAGTTAATTTATCCATGTTCAGGGCTCCCTGTGGTAATACGTATAACATCACTGAACCTCATCCATGATCAGGCCCCCCTGTGGTAATATGTATATGTATATTATCACAGAACCTCATCCATGATCAGGGCTCCTTGTGGTAATTCTATATTATCACTGAACCCCATCCATGTTCAGGGCTCCATGTGGTAACATGTATATTATCACTGAACCTCATCCATGTTCAGGGCTCATTGTGGTAACGTGTATATTATCACTCAACCTCATCCATGTTCAGGGCTCCTTGTGGTAACATGTATATTATCACTCAACCTCATCCATGTTCAGGGCTCCTTGTGGTAACATGTATATTATCACTCAACCTCATCCATGATCAGGGCTCCTTGTGGTAACATGTATATTATCAAAAATAACAGTCCTCAGTAATATACAGACCCATGGAAAGGGGGTGCAACCAGGACATTGTTCCGGGGCCCATAAATATCTAAAAAAATAATTATGTTGGCATGGTCGAAATTTGTGCCACAGAGCCTCCGAACCAATTCACGATTCTTTACCCAGGCTATGCAGGGGTAAAGCTAGAAACCTTATATTTTACATAATTATTGCACGGGTGTGTGAGGGGGCCGGGGCAAAATTTGTCTAACTCTCATTGACCCTGGTATATATATCTTTATTTTTTTGCACAGGGTTTCCTGCTCCGTTACATGGATGCTATCACTGAGCCCAGAAATAGGATTAAATAGTAAAGCCATTTTATAATATACTTAACAACAAACAATGTATTGGCACATTTAATAAACTTCTTAATATTAATATTTCATAATTTAAATATATCACAATATATACTGTTAACCAAATCTTAACGGAAATAGAAAATCATTAAAATGCAGTTTGTGTTAATAAAAAGAGAACTCTAGCCTTTGATTGAAGACTATTTAAGTCTGTGATGTATTGTTTAATGGTCGAGGGCGAGACATTAAGTAATATATTTAACCGAGTGTTTTTTACAATATATTACGCAATGTCTTAAGTTCGAGACCATTAAACGACTTAAAATACAGACACTCCGCACGTGCTTTTACCGGTAGATTGAAATACGTCATGCGAGTCCAATATTTCACTAGTATAAAAAATGTACGATTGGCAAGTTGCCCGTACGATTATTTGAAATAATGGTACGCCAACATCAAAGGGTGACGTCAGATCTGTATTTTAAGTATTATTAAAAGTAAATGACAGTGCCATTTGGTTTTGTTTATTAACAGGGATTGACAGTTCTTATAGGCGTGACAATAGGAACTCAACAGTTTTTGATGATTCTTAACGCATTTTCCAACAAATGGTTTGAAACTTAACACTGAATACAGAAACTCCTGATAGAACAACACAACTACATGATACCTGATGAAGTGTAAACAACAATATTATACAGATCCTAACAGGAACTCGAATTGTTAATCAAAACAGAATTCCTATCCTGCAACAAGAGGGCACAAAAAATAAAAAATGACAATTTAGAGAACCTATCTCCATAATTTAATGACCCCATCCCTGGAAGCTGTCAATCCGAATTCCTATCCCGTAACAAGATGGCAAAAAAATAAAACATGATAATTTAGAGAAATTATTTCCACAGTTTAATGACCCCGTCTCTGGAAGCTGTAATAACTAAACATTGTGATCTCATGAGTCTTTTACTCATATCAGAGGCCTGTTTCACGAAATTTTAACTAAGATAAAATCCAAATTTTAGTAATTTGATTGGATAATATTAGATTGATTTTAGTGTTTAGCCAATCAAAATTGAAGTATCTACTAAAATTTGGATTTTATCTTTAGTTAAGATTTCGAGAAACAGGGCCCAGAATTCCTATCCCGCAGCTAGATGCACAAAAATAAAACATGATAATTTAGAGAACTTATTTCCACAGTTTAATAACCCCATCCCTGGAAGCTGTAATAACTAAACATTGTGATGATTGACATATACCGATATCACTTATCATGTTATGATGAGCTGTAGATGGCGCTTCAGGTCCTCGGTGTGGAATATCTTCGCTACTTGTCTGTTTTCGGTTATATACTTCCTGTACTACATCTGTACCATCTATTAACTGAGATCTGAAATAAAACGGAGGTTTAAAATCTTATGTTTCTGCATCAACACGGCTAATTAAGAAGGGTATACGTCAGTGATGGGATTCCATCCGTATATTTCGGACATGTCTTACGCTATTTTCCAAACGTCTAAAAACGTAGCCATGAAGTGTGCCGATAGAACAGTTTTGCCTCGATGGCAGAGCTACGACCTATTCTAATTGATTAGCGCTATGGGATACGATAACTTTGATTCTAATTGAATGACAGCCATGAAACCTGGTGTATAGTTTAACATGCTATTGCTTTTCATTTACCCAGTCGGTGCAGATAAGTATGCAAAGCTATATGGGATTTTTTGCCTTGACATCGCTGCTACGTCCTACTCTTATTTCGAATTACAACTTTTAAGAGTTCTTTTACGTGCACGACAATGTGTACATAGGACCTTGTTTTTATGTACCATCTAAACAACTAGATGCTACTCCTTGTCACGCCTCCTTCCCATGCTGCACCAGTTACAAGATAAATCAACTTTCTCAGCAAACACTGGGAGCTGACCGAAGATTTCTCCTGGCTCGAAGTTCACAAAGCATTCTCAGACTTAAGTTAAGAATTTACTCAAAATTGTTCGCCTTATTTGAACTAAAATATAGCCCTTTATAAAACTTTTATTGTTTTAATGTATCAAATACATCAATAAGAAACTGTGCAAAGTTTTGTGTTTGTGGATCTAAGATATTTCTCATAAACAGTTATTGAAAGTTGAGTAAATTCTTAACTTAAGTCTTAGAATGCTTTGTGAACTTGTGGGCCTGGTTAGTGAGTCAGCTCCCTCATCGCTGAGCCACTGTGGCACCCTGCATTAACTCCCTCCCTCACCAATCTAAAACCATTGTTTGAAAAAGTATTTTAAAATATAATATTGACTTACTGGTAGGAGACAGCTGTATTGGTATATTCTGTAGCTGGATGACTCATTATAAAAGATTTAGAGGGCGTCGCCAAGTCCCAATATCTAATAGTCATATCTGTACCAGCAGTTAATAGAAATATTTTCTGATCTGTTGAAGCTATGTGCATTCCATGTATAGCGTGATTGTTAGTCTGTAATAAATGAATGAATGAATGAATGAATGAATGAATGAATGGGGTTTCACCTCCTACTTTTCTGCACCAACTGGGCTAATGAAGACAGGCTTACACCATAACACGACACAATTATACCGAATACAAGTTACTTGAAGGATTTATTTCAGCGATGTTGAGAAAGATGGGATTACCCTGGTCGAAAATCTTTCAAGTAACTTGTATTCCATATAATTGTGTCATGTGTTATTTTCATCCAGTTACTCAATGCCACTTAAACAATCTAGCTTAGCTTACAGCATATAGTGTGCTATGAGGGATTCCAACTGTCATGGGTTCTTTAATGTGCATGCTATTGTGTACACAGTACTACACAGGACCATGTTTTTTTGTCCCATCCAAATGACTAGACACTGTTCCTTGTCAGACACAGAAGAAGAGAGGAGAGAACTGTACATAATGTTAATCAAACAAATGAAAAGAAAAAGACGCAATTTTAATAAGATCGATTTATATGTTTTGCTGAAATTATTTTTTTGTAAAACCAGTGAAAAATATTTCCCTTAAAACAAAGTAAAAGTACAGTGAAATGAAATTGGGTTTAATAGCCTACTGTTCTGCACCAACCAGCCTAATAAAGACAGGCATACACTATGCAATGTGCTACACAACAACTTTTGCCAGGACAGCGGCACTGTGGCCTACTCTTATTTTGAACGTGTACATAGGATCGCGTTTTTTTGGCTCATCCAGACTGCACCCACAACAATGGTAAACAACGCTAAGGCTAAAAAATCCAGAAGAACTATCTCTGCCAACAGTGGGATCGAGCATTGAACCTCCTAATTAATGAGCCAGTGCGATCCACTGTGGCCCCTGTCCTTTACAATAAGTGAGAATGTTATAAATATGAAAAACATGAAATTTACCTGATTTAAAGACAAGGGAGGAGATTTACTGGCCCATAATACTTTCTGTCTGGAACCAGTTTCTACATCCCACATAGATACTTCATTATTCCACTGTGGTGCCGATAAAATCAACGACTGTTCATGTGGATGCATTATTAATCTTCTTACTCTCGCTTCTAAATATAGAAATAATAAAAACATGACGAGTAACTCAAATATATTCAGTCATTAAGTAAATAATATTATCCTATTCATGAATAACTTGAGCATATTCAGTCATTAAGTAAATATCAGAAATATTTCTGCTTATCCTAATGATGAGTAAACATGGTGAAATAATTCAACTAATCATGAGTAAACATATGAAATAATCCAACTTATACTATTCGTGAGTAAACATGGGGATATATATGAAATAATCCTTCTGATAATATTCATGAGTAAACATATACTATTCAGAGTAAACTTATAATATTCATGAGTATACATATAATATTCATGAGTAAACTTATAATATTCATGAGTATACATATAATATTCATGAGTATACTTATAATATTCATGAGTATACTTATAATATTCATGAGTATACTTATAATATTCATGAGTATACTTATAATATTCATGAGTAAACTTATAATATGAGTAAATATATGAAATAAGACTACTTATAATATTCATGAACAACCGTATACTATTCATGAATAAACTTATACTATTCATGAGTAAACTTTTACTATTCATGAATTAAAATATTAATCAGTAAACTAATGAAATAGACAGAGAAATGGGATTTAGATTTAACGTCCACTCGACACACACTACGTCATTTCGGGACTAACATATGGTTCAATTTTATTTCAATAATTTGCTTGAGGGTAGGGGTCTTTAGTAGTGGGAGGAAAACGGGGGACCCGGAGAAAACCCATGGGGTTGGACAGGAGACCCTACACCTTGTCGAGTACAGACATGGAATCGAAACCACGCCAGTTGACTCAATGACAGACCCTATGGTGGTATACTTACTTTCGAACGACAGTGTATGAAATAATTCAACTATTCATGAGTAAATAAATGAAACAATCCTGTTTATAATATTCATAAGTAAACTTATGAAATAATCCAAGGTCTTAATCTGGCCCTGGAAGGGTGATGCAGGTAATGTAATTTGTTTGGGTATATAGAGTCGAGTAGATTTTACAGGTATATTACTTACGAGCAGGATGTTGTATAGTATTTAGACCAATCCGTAGTTGAAATCTCATGTCCCAACATATATGTGTTCCATTACTCGTACCTGCAGCTAACCAACATTGTGTCTGATGTACAGCAAAACTTGTTATTAACCCTACAAATAATATACACAAACAATTACTTATAGAAAAATGGAGCAATTTTAGTCCTCGACTAATTCATCATTTTATACAGTCTTTAATTTAAAGTCGCGCATCCTGATCGTGCATTTTTCATACAATCTCTAATCCATGTTAAATTAATAAAACCTAATATCAATGGCAGATAATCTTGCAACTCAGATTCAATTGAATCAAAAAGTGGTTATTTATCTATATCATCTTTACAGGATGCAGAATGTTGCAAAATATTCAATTCATCACAATTTTATAAATTTTAAATGAGTAGGGTGACCCATGTACTCACAGAAATACAGTCCACCGCTGATAGTTCGAGACTACCACTGAAGCGTGCACATTCGCCGTGCTGAGACCAACTTTCTGACAGTATGATACTATAAATAGCCATGGCACGTGCAATTCTCTACAAATCTATCAACTATTACAGCCGTAAAAAATTTATTGTTGACGATTTTGAATAGCAGTAAAATTATTAAGTACAACATGATCGTTTATTTAGTGACTATAATTGTGTGAATCTGATTTGAGGCTTGGCATATATATAAATATTGTGGCGTAATTGTCGAGATATATGGAGATATTTATTTATGGTGGGTCACCCTAAAATGAGACTGGATTTTTGACTAATATTACTCTTACAGATTCAGCTCTTACAATATTATAAGGGATTAAAAATCTCTCATACGATGTTCAGATTTGAACAAATATCTACCTGCTCTAGGTTCATTTTTAAGTTTCCATGTTGGTTCTGGTGATCTAAGATCCCAACCTACGATATAACCATTGACTGTAGAATATGTTAATATAGACTGGGACCCTGAAACAAATACAATAGAAATATGATCCTGAAATAAAAACTACCAGAAAATCTCAAAATGGAGTGGCATATCTGCCTGGTTAGTAAGAGAGAGAGAGAGAGAGAGAGAGAGAGAGAGAGAAAGAGAGGTGGAAGGTTTAAAGTCCACTCAATACACACTAAGTCATTTCAGGACTAACATATGATTCAATTTTATTTCAATAATTCGCTCGCCCAAAGGGGTCTTTAGCAGTGTGAGGAAACCAGAAGAACCGGAGAAAACCCACAAGGTTGGTCAGATGACCCTACTCCTTGTCAGGTACAACCAGGGAATCAAAACCACGCCAGTTGACTCAATGGCAGACCATATGACACAACTGGCACGCGCTAACCGTTCAGCCATCCAACCCCCCATGGTCAGTAGGTCTACACCTGACTGAGCCATGTGGTTCTTAACTATTATGGAAGCAGATTTTAACCACCAAATAGAGAACGAGTAGTTTATGTATTCTTGGCTAGATTTAATTTAGAATTAAAATCCTTCAGTCCTAATCAGGAGAATATTGTCACCAAGGAGTTCATGTTTAATCAGGAGAATATTGTCACCAACGAGTTCATGTTTAAGGTATTCGATTGGCAAGGGCTGAGAAATGAAACACGGTTTAAGATCCTACTTTTCTGCACCGACTGGGCTAATGAAAACAGGCTTACATTACACAGTGTGTATAAGAGAAATTTGGTCCTGACAGCGGCAACATGGCTTACACTTATTTTCATTTCCAACTGTTAGAGATCTCTACCGGTAGGTGCTTTTCTTTGCAAGTCCCTCCATCTAGCACCAATGACAAGTGAGATACAATCTGATTAAAGTACAGATCTATATTTCGTTTCGTTTTGTTTTTTTATTCTTTCGATGGCCTACACTACCTGAAAATCTGACCAGTTGTCAGGGGTCATACGTGCAGCTTTTGACCCTATGACGTCAGACATTGATTAATCAATCAACGTTGACGTTTCTAGGGTTTACCCACAATTCTGTGCAGAGCATGCCAAGAAGTCGCCGTAACAGACCGTTTCATTGGCTAATTCCTCACATCCAGCAGAACGCCTGTTATATAACAACTCTCTCAGATCCTAGTGTTGTGAAGACAAATAAAATGAAATTTTAAACTATAAAAAATGAAACGAAATAGGATCTGGGTTTTAATCAGCTTGATCAAAGATAATGATTTAGTAAAATGATTGAAAATGTCTGACACCTACGTCCTACACCAAGTTTGAACATTCTAGCTCAATTAGAAGGAGAGTTATTGTGTCCCAAAAAGTGTGACGGACGGACAGACAGACGAACCCATTTTAATAGTCCCCTGCTTTCTTCGAAAGGCGGGGGATAATGAATGATTTAGTAAAATGATATTGTAAAATGGTTGATATACCTGTATCAAAATGTGTTATATCTGTAATATTACCATAGGTATCTACATCTATGTTTTTAACAGCTTTATTTCTCATCTCATCTAACCTAGAAAAATATACAAATTATTATATCATATTCCATACCTGAAAATATACAAATTATTATACCATATTCCATACCTGAAAATATACAAATTATTATATCATATTCCTTACCTGAATATGAGAGAGAGAGAGAGAGAGAGAGAGAGAGAGAGAGATGGGGCTTAACGTCCACTCGACACAAACTAGGTCCCGCAGAAAACCCATGAGGTTGGACAAACGACCCTACTCGTTGTCATGTACAACCAGGGAATCGAAACCACGCCAATTGACTCAATGACAGACATTATGATACAGCGTGCACGCGCTAACCATTCAGCCATCCAATTCCCTAAAAATTATAGTCCAAGAGCACAAAATGAAATGAAATGCAGTTTAATGTCCTACTGTTAACAGTCAATCTGTGTGGAGTTGAGCTGTCATATCAGATTTTGCCCTAAATTCAAATCGTAAAATATATTCTAGAAATAAAATGACAATATTTAAGCCACCGTTTCAGAGATTGGAAAAAAATCTTGAAACTGAGCAGCTTTCTGACTATGGCTAAATCTATTTGTTAAGGTCAGCTCAATGTTTGTCAAAGTCACTGAGATGTAAATAAGGTTAGGGCTAGGTCCAGGGTTAGGGCTAGGGTTGGGTTTAGCGCTACCTCTGTTTACATCTTGTGACCTATGACGAAAAATGGAGCTGGCTTTATCATTTAGAAATATAACCTCCTGTGTCATTAAATGCAGCCAGCCTTATCATTTAGCACTAACCTATCTCCTGTGTCACGAAATGTTTATCATCTCTTGTAAACATCAATTCTTGTATTATTCACTAATTACTTATAAAGATACATTATATAAGAACTACAGCTGTCTATGGCTAGTCTTTTTATTTTAGGTTCAGATTATTATATATAAATTATCATTTAACCATTTATTCACCCGACCTCGCTTATAATCATTTAACCATTTATTCACCCGACCTCGCTTATAATCATTTAACCATTTATTCACCCGACCTCGCTTATAATCATTTAACCATTTATTCACCCGACCTCGCTTATAATAATTTAACCATTTATTCACCCGACCTCGCTTATAATCATTTAACCATTTATTCACCCGACCTCGCTTATAATCATTTAACCATTTATTCACCCGACCTCGCTTATAATCATTTAACCATTTATTCACCCAAGCTCGCTTATAATCATTTAACCATTTATTCACCCGACCTCGCTTATAATCATTTAACCATTTATTCACCCGACCTCGCTTATAATCATTTAACCATTTATTCACCCGACCTCGCTTATAATCATTTAACCATTTATTCACCCGACCTCGCTTATAATCATTTAACCATTTATTCACCCGACCTCGCTTATAATCATTTAACCATTTATTCACTCGACCTCGCTTATAATTAACTCTTTTGGATTGAAACATGTGCACCATTTAATAATTTAATGATAGTATGGATAATCAAGACTTTGCTTGGTATTGTAACAATGGTACTTGACAATTGAGACTATATAGTCATAACTTCAAATACTCATAACTTCACTTAGAATAAAGTAATTTGACTGAAATTTTCAATCTATTTATTCCTCATTATCTATTTTTAACTATTACAGCAAGAAAGGCCAGCTTTTTATCTAAATCTTACATAATGCATATTTAAATAATCTTACTTATAGACATGTATTGTTCAATCTTACATCATGTATATTTAAATAGTCTTACTTATAAACATGTATTGTTCCATCTTACATAATGTATATTTAAATAATCTTACTTATAGACATGTATTGTTCCATCTTACATAAAGCATATTTTAATAATCTTACTTATAGACATGTATTGTTCCATCTTACATAATGCATATTTAAATAATCTTACTTATAGACATGTATTGTTCCATCTTACATAATGCATATTTAAATAATCTTACTTATAAACATGTATTGTTCCATCTTACATAATGCATATTTAAATAATCTTACTTATAGACATGTATTGTTCCATTATCTGATGCTGAAGCTAATGCTGTAGAATTTTCACAGAATGTTATTGACTTTATACGACCACCTGTAATAAATTCATATATAGGAAGGTAAATATACAATATGCAATCCAATCTAGACCAGATATCAATTTATTGCAAACAACAATACTGTGAAAGTTAAATCTCTAAAAGTAAATGAAATGGGGTGTAACCACAGAAAAAGAGGAACAAAGCCGGAAAATCTCAAAGAAATTTCTCGACCAACGCAGGAATCGAACACAGGACCTCCTGGCTAGTGATCCACCATGGTTGCCATCTCTAAAATTTATATTAGTCCAAATATGGTTCACATGTGTTCAGTATTTACAAAGATATGATGAATTGAAAATTTATCAATATTCTTCATCGTCGGATATACTACCTATGATTGCCACTGAATCTTTTGATGAGCCTCTTTTTAACCTAACCCTAACCCTGGAGATATCCAAACTGATTAAAACACAGATTCTATTTTGTTTCGTTTTTTATTTAGTTTTACTTGTCTTTACTACACTAGGATCTGGAACAGTTGTTATATAACCCACGTTCTGGTTGATGTGAGAGATTAACCAATGAAACATCTTGTTACGGCTAGTTCTTGGCGTGCGGTGCACAGAACTGTGGGTAAACCACAAGAAACATCAACACTCATTGATTAATCAATGTCTGACGTCATAGGGTCAAAATCTGCCCATATGACCCCTGATGTGACCTTCCACTACAACCGTTCAGATCTTCATGTAGTGTTGGCCATCGAAAGCATACAAAAAACAAAACGAAATATAGATCTGTATTTTAGTCAGATTGTCAGATATCCACCTTCGATATCTGGATTTTGTTTTCTTATTCGAAATCAAGATATATTATTTTACCTTGTTTACTAAAGGTATGTTTTGATCTGTTTAATACACTCTTCCCTTCTAACCTACTACATTCCCATAGTTTTACACTTCCATCGTTAGAACAACTAGCAAAATAACTATGATCTTGACAAACTTGTATTCTGTAAAATATAGAATCATTACTCCAAATAGTATGTTAAATGGGGATAAAGAAAGGACGAACAACACTCCATATATTGAGTTAAAATCATTGTTTTTATTTCAAAATAAAATCTGTTAAATAAATAATTTATATTTAAATAATTCAAAAAATAAATCAAATTCGGATAAAAGGATGGACAAACAAATCAGATCTGTGTGACTAGTGTAATATTATCAATTGATACAGACAAAGAGAAAGACAGAGAGAAAAAACGCCTGATAGCAGATGATAGCTTTAGTTGTTCTGAAATCTACTGAGGTGTCTACTAAAGACACTGAGGCGCAATGTTTTAAAAGATTTTACACTGTGGGAGAGATCTTGTTTTGTAACAACCTGTTTACATGATCCACAGTAACTATTGTCAACATATCATGCAGACAAGGGGGATAACTCTTATCAAATTCAATAAGGGGAGATAACTCCCCAGTTCTATGTTTACCACCTAACTACGGGGGTGCTCGATTGTCAGTCCGGAACGTCCCGAATTGACAGAATTGCAATCAAGTGATACGGAATTCAGTCCTGTCACAGTCCAGACAGCTGAGGGGGTAGAATCGTGACATATTTTAAGTAACAAAAACGTTTCAGTTGTCATGATTGGTTGAGATATTTTTATACAGTCAGCACATGCGTTGTACTCCGAAATTATCCTTTTCACTCGATTGACACTATTTTCGGAATTGAGAGAATTTAATTCCGGAACGTTCAAATGATTATCCCCAAAATGTTCCTGTAAACATACACAAGGGGGGAATAACTCTAACCCAACTTTAGTAAGGGGAGATAACTCCTCACTTCTAGTTTCAGTACTAACTACTAATAACCAACCTGTTAACAGCTGCTCTATGTTCCTGTAAATGTGCCACTAGTTGACCTTTCGGTTTCCAGTTATCGGGTGGAGGACGACTATCCCATGCTATACCTTCTAATAAATCTTTAGTTTGTACATCTGTTACATATTGTTCCCGTCTCTTGTGTACCAAATTACGTAATTCCCATTTACAATTAGCATAACGAACTAAAATATAGTAAATCATATTGATTATAAGGTTTGAAAGTGATAATTTTAGTTGTTCTCGACAAAATGACAGACAATAAAGAACAAGTACCAGATATTTTGCATTGTGTTGAATATTTATTAACATATCCATAAAAACATTAACATGACAGCTACCAAAGATATTCTAAATGCAAATGAGAGAGAGAAATGGGGTTTAACGTCCACTTGACAAAATCTAGATCATTTCAGGACTAACATATGGTTCAATTCTATTTCATTAATTCGCTTGCACGTAGGGGTCTTTAGAAATGGGAGCAAGCTGGAGGACCCGGAGAAGACCCACGAGGTTGGACAGGCGACCCTACGTATAACCGGGAAATTGAAACAACGCCAGTTGACTCAATGACAGACCTATTGATACAATGTGCGCACGCTAACCATTCAGCCATCCAACCCCATAAATGACACATCGATACTTTAAAATATTACTTACTTCCTTTTTCTGACTGTATAGAGCCATCATTACTAATACCCACTGATTGGCTAACGTTAACTATACTACTTGAAGATGATTGGCTAGACGTGTTTAACGTTGATGACGAACTTTTCTTGTCTAAACTATCATGTTTTTCGGGGGTTTTATTTTTAAGAGAAGCTGACCTATCGGTATCCATTGATCCAAACATCTTCTTCCAATCTTCATTCTGAACAAATAAATGAAATATTTTTAAACCCCTTGTAAAAAAGATGAGTTTATACAGGTGACGTAGTAAAGAATGTGTGCTTGTGCTGCAGGTAACATAAACAAGCCATTGTTACCGATAAATATTGAGTAAAATATTCTGATATATTGTTTACCGTTGATATATTGATTTTGTATTCTTAATTAAATAATTAAATTGAGTATATTTTAAGGGCCGTCACGAAAGTTCAACTTGGTTGGTGGGCTGAACGACACCTCGGATCGAATATTGAATCAAGAACGGAAATAGTTTAACATTTTATTAGTCCGTTGGTGTTTTGAGATTTATCTGCTGGTAATTCATTTGGATGCAAGTGTTGAAATTTTGTGAGGGTCTTCAAGCCACAAAGTATTTGAATCAAATATTCTTACTTACCATAGCAGCTGATATTGGTTCTAATGATGCCATCTTTTTACGTCTTCTACTGTAACATATAAACAATTAAATTGTTTACAGCTAATTTAACGAACTCACTAAAATGCTTTGATATTGACTGAACTGTCAAATGACATCTCCACTAACAAAGATGTTCATATGCCTACCATAATTCGAAAAAGAGTAGGTGGTAACGCTTCTGCCCAGGCAAAACTTCCTTGATGACAACGTGTTGCTGTTTGGGCAATTTGATTAAAATAAAGATCTATATTTCGTTTCACTTTTTTATACTTTCGATGGCCTACACTACATGAAGATCTGACCGGTTGTTGCGATAGGTCATGTCAGACATTTGATTAACCAATCAGCATTAATGTTACTAGTGGATTACCCACAGTTCCATGCAAAATACGCCTAAAGCTCGCTGTAACAGACCGTTTCATTGGCTAATGCCTTACACTATTCAGAAAACGTCAATGATAACAATTCTTCCAGATCCTAGTGTAGTAAAGACAAGTAAAACAAAATTTTGAACTATAACAAACGAAACGAATTAAGATCTGTGTTTTAATCAGATTGCTGTCTGGGCAAAATTACCTCATGGTCATTAAATAAAATAAAATAAAACTAACCTGTTTGGAGAGGTATGAGTTTCATTTGTTTTTTCACTGTAACTTTTATGTAGGTCAGCATGTCGTCTAGTAATGTTTCTCTGTCGGGCATTTAAAGACGTCAGATTTAACGAACCTTTTTTACTGGAATCTAAATCGGCACTATTTTCATTGGACCTAAAATAATAAATTACATTTTTATTCCACTCATAATATTATCTAAACTTATTTATCTTACCTTCATAACTACTTAAAGCCGCTGATTGGCATTACAGATATTGTGCTTGATAATGATAAGAGGTTGTGCTTTCACTCGACACAAACTAGGTAATTTCGGGACAAACACATGGTTCAGTTTTATTTCAATAATTACCTTGCGTGTAGGGAGGACACCGGATGACACGGAAATAAATCATGAGGAAGGACATGGTGACCCTATACCTTGTCACCTACAACCGGGTAATCGAAAACCACACCAGCTGACTCAAGACAGACCATACGATTAAGCGCACGCGTGCTAACCATTCGGCCATCCAACTCCGTGTTGAATCAACGAATACAATGTAACAATCCCAAAATGGCTTAGTTAGTATCTCCTAAACCTTAAACCTCTCTTTCTCTCTCTCTCTCTCTCTCTCTCTCTCTCTTGGAGATGGGGTTTAATATCAACTGGACACAAACTAGGTCATTTCGGGACTAACATATGGTTCAATTTTATTTAAATAATTTGAATGCGCGTAGGGGTCTTCAGCAGTGGGAGCAAACTGGAGGACCCGGAAAAAACCCACAAGGTTGGACAGGCGACCCTACTCCTTGTCACATACAACCGAGGAATTGAAACCACGCCAGTTGACTCAATGACAGACGTTATGATACAGCGTGCACGCGCTAACCATTCGGCCATCCAACCCCCATGCTTTTAAAATTGTTTCCCAATCGCTAAAGGC